CAGACTGTGTCCCCAAGTAGCATCATAAAGTGGAAGGTCTGGTCATTTGCCAAAATGGAGGCTATCCAGAGAGCAATGTTACGTAATTTGCTGTTACAGAACAGTTAGAAATCCACTTCAATGCATTACTGCCAGTTAGTGGTGGGACCGATGGCCTGGGAGCACAGATGGAGCTGGATCATAACCCTCACAGAAGACATCTGACGCAGATCAAACAGGAAAAGAATAAAGTTAGAAGAGTATGGTTTAAAAAAGGCAAAAAAATGTGTTTGGCTTAATTTGGTGGGAAGATAGACTTTAACCCAAGTTAATTACATTTAGTTGATTGTCCAGATGTGGGATTATTTTAGCCTAACTCCTTAGAAGAGAAAGTTGATGTTGGCAGATTAATAATAATAATAATACTAATAGTGGGGTTTGCAACATCAGCCTGTGCAATGAAATAATCTGCCCATTTCAGCACTCTACAGTAAATCCATCTGTTTTTTTGACGGTGTGAAAGACTTGCAGACAGAAAACCAAGGTGATGAGGATAACTCGCTTATACATCATTGTAATTTATGTTGTATGTTATTTCTCTAGTTATCTTGTGATGTGAAGTTAGATCCTCGCCCTGAATACCACCGCTGCATTCTGACGTGGCATCACCAGGAGCCTCTGCCGTGGGCACAGAGCACAGGTACCAGAGTCAAAGCCTACAGCTACAGTACTGTTTACTGGTAACTAATAAAAGCAAAGAGCCCCCCAAAAAAAGAATTGTGTGGACTTGATCACAGTAGATTGATCACATCTGATGCTCTTTGTAGACACACTAGAAGTAATCATTATCCCACGCCACAACTTCCTCTTTTTTTTTAGAGCAACAGGCCACTATTGTAGTTTGGTATTGAAGAGTATGACGACAGACGGCAAACCTAAAAAAAAAATCATAATTTCAATATGATGGTATGAAAAGAAAAAAAATAACTATTCCCAATTTGCTTCCTATTAATTCTCATCTAAAATATGATGTCCTCTCTCTGCTGCAGGGAACCAGGTGAGCAGCAGGTTGATGAGCATGCGCAGTGCTAACGGGCTCCTGATGCTACCTCCGAAAACAGAGCAATACGTGGAGCTGCACAAGGGCGAGGTGGTTGACGTCATGGTCATCGGCCGGCTATGATGTCATCACAGGGGGGACGGAGCGAAGGCGTCGTATAGCGAGGGTTGGAATGGGTGGTTCACGGTGCATGTCCACATATCATTGACTATTCTGTAATATGCAACGGCACAGCTAGTTTTTATTGATTTGGATAACGTTGAGGTATAGTCAACATCTTGATCACAACCTAGATACATATGAAAAAAATTACTTTAAAAAGATTATAATATTTCAAAGAAAGAAAATATAACTTTTAATGAAAAAAATCTAATTATAAAAAGAGATTTATTCTGTAATATATTATTATGATTATTCTTATTATTATCATTATTCTTCTTCTTATCATTATTATATTAAGGCAACTTCGTTCCTTTCATTGCAATTGCTTTGTGTGTTCAATGCTAGACCTTATCTATAGCAGTAGCATTTTAATAAACAGCTGTAGGTGCCTGCCAGGACAAAAAAAAGAAAATTATTATTTTCTCTTTAGTGAAAAAAAAATCTGTTTTTTGAAAATGACGAAAACATTGAGAAAGACTCCAGATTTCCCATGGTGCTCAGCTAAAAGGAAGAGGGGGCACATCAAGACCACTTCCTCTTTTGGGCGCCCATCAAGGTGACACTTCTGTTTTTCTCTCATTAGTATGCATCATAATGGCTTCACAAAGAGCTTTGCTTGTTGTTTATCTTGTGAGTCTTGTTCATGTGCGCAGTGCCAAATGCCTGGGCAGGGAAGAGGTGACGTTGGGATGGGGAGGTGTGTGGGGGGGGGCACAACCCATTCTGCCCAGACCCTGAAGCTTCCTTATATTCACAGTGACCGGGTGTAAACTTTGCCCCAAACCCCTACCCCCCCCTCAGGGGCAAGCTTAACCTGGGAAAAAAATAACCTTTTATTTGATCAACTATTTAAGAATAAAAAAAAAATTAATGAAGCAGCTTCTTTAAGTGCTGACAGCCTTTTTAACCAACTTCACAAAAATGTACAGAAAAAAATAAGAACCATATTGTACAGATATATGTGACCAGCACTCCTAAGGAAATTATTAAGCAATGAGGAGACATTGAACAACGCTGTACTATAACATTTTCTGTAATGATATGAAACTGATGAAAGAGACTAAGATAATAAAAATCCTTGATCATTATGTAAAAAAAGTTCTTGTTGGGTTTCCTTTTTTAATAAAATATATCAACAAAAAAAATAGTGATTTCCTTATTTGGTACATGGTAGCCAGAAGTTTAAGAGAAATGCATGAATCACGAATGATAGAGAAATGTCTTTCCTTCCATAACAACAATTCATCCTTTTTAAAACATTTATCTATTTGGGCGCATTTTCAGATTATTCTGTCAACCGGTTGTTAACAGCTTCACCCTTCCATCTAAAACTCCTCACATGGTTTCATGGAATGTTTTGGATCTCAAAGATCTCTGTTTTGTTTTCTTTGAAGGCAGCAGGGGAGAAAAGCGGTAATGGCAGGTGTGAGTTTGGATCCAAGACATCCAGACATCCAAACAGTGTAACAGTGAGAATTCCCCGGAATGTCAGCCAGTCCCGAATACTGCAAATACAACAACCTGCATCGATTATTCTAATTGTCTTATAGTAACTTAGACATTTCTTTCAAATGAAAATCTCTGAGATTAATATTTTAAATAACTGTTTGTGGCCAAAATAGGTCGAATCATCCAATAATTCACAGAAAACTACAAAATTGATGCAAAAGCTTTTCCAATCTTTTCATCCTGTTACTCATCTCATGACCCCCCAAATCTTTCTTGTGACCCTGTAGGGGACCCCAACCTTGGATAGAGGATCACTGCACATACTATTTGTGGCTAGTTTTAGGTACAACTACTGCAGAACAAGTACTTTGACTTCTATTCTATTTTTTGAACATAACTTTGACGGTAATTGTTCTACTTGGGTTGAGTATCCGAGTACTTCATTCCACATTGCTTCTCAGATGAACAAAGAAAAGACGGCTGAATTTGACTGAAGCAAAGGGGATTTTAACGGTCTCTCTTTCTAGGATGGAAAGTAATTCATAATCAGGGACTGGCAGGAGAGCGCCTAATGAGGAAAGGAGGTTAAGCACAGAGGTGTCGGAAAGGATTAACCTAATAAAAAATATAGCGGGGAAAAAGGCAGCTTCAGGCTTTGGTGTAGATATTTCTGAGGCCGCATGAGATTAGACCGTTTCTGTTCTGCTCTGCAAGGTGAAATGACAGTAGATCCCATTAGTTGATGATTAATGCTACTGTGACGAGAACTTATGTAAATTCATCTTTGTAAATGGGTGGAATGTAAGGGGATCAGTGTGGAGATGACGGTGCAGAATGGTGGTAAATGCTGCATAACTAGTGCAATAAGTGTTTTATTTATTAGAGGATACGGTGACAAAGCAACAATTGGTTTATTCTCTGAGTTTCTTTCTCTTTTTCTGAGAAATACTTCAACTGGCTTTTTTACGTGTTCCCATCCTCTCATTTTTAAATCTGCTAACACACAAGTATTCATTGTGGAGCCGTTCGAGGCCCAATCAAGCTTTTAGAACAAGTTATTTGTAAAGTCACAATGAACCTCTCTCAGGCCTCTGGCTTTTACAACCACATGCTTCTAAGCATCTTAGCACATCCATGTAAATTAAAAATACCAAAATACCTGAAACCCCTACAGTTTAAATTAACACCACTACAACCTTAATTATATTTACTTTTGATGGATGTAATTTCTACTTGAGAAGGCTTGTCATACCTCAGAGTATGTGCTTTCTGCTCTCTTAGTTCACAACTGTTTTAAAAGTTTCAACTTTTCTGTCAAGAAAACCCAATTTTATTGTAAAATTACAATGTGTCTTTTCTAGCTCATACAGAATGACTGCTAATGGATGCATTGCTATGAAGTTTTGTCCATACGTGAATGTTGCCAGAGAACAAACCATACTCACTAAGGCAATACACAGATTTTTCCAGCTTGAAGTTCAATTTTGTGGTTTTGAGGGAAATAGTGGAGCATTTAGCTGCTAAAGAGCCATATGCATTTAAAATAGAGCCAAACGAGACTGAATAAAGGACTTACATTACACATGGGTGTAATTCACAATTCACAAAACACAAGTAATTCTATGTCATGCATCTTCATACATTGGAGACGACGATACATTATTGACTGCAAAAAGATACTAGTTACTTGTTAGATTCAGGTTAATAATGCATCATCAAAATAATATTGATAAAATCAATATAAATCCGCTTTATTATTGGCAAATAAACTACCTGACAGTTTCTAAAGTAATCAAAACACCCACCACCTTTACCAGCTGCAACATGGAAATGATTCGCCAATAACTATAGTCCATTAAAGAATAATATTCTGAAATTGATCGATGTGTATTACATGATTCCTTTATGCTAATGTATGGTAGTTTCCCCTTCATTAAATTGTGTTTTTTTTCTTTTCTGGTATTGTTTCTTGTATTTATCATTTTTGAAGTTAGGCCTACTCGCTGCAATGTGGGCGATGTGGTGATCACGTGGTGGGGAGTGTGGGGGGGGGGGGCGCTGTTGAGCCGCAGTGTTGCCAGGGAAACGACTCAAAACACCAATCTCGGTTTCGCAGCAATGGCCACAAGTGACTGTCCCGGGACCGAGGGGTCCCGACTGTGCCTGAACTAAACTCACTGCGGCGACTGAACGCGATCCTGTGAAGACCGGTTCGGTGGAGGGAGGAGACCTCGGTGGAGACTTTTTTTTTAACACAGACATTATCGACTGGACCATGCAGGGATAAGCACTTCTTCCCTAAACCCATTCAGCGTCCTGCGGTTCGACTGGTGAGTAAAGGCGGTCTGCTCCGGGACAGAGGTGCCGTAAGGCTACGGGACAGCTAGCATGGTTAGCGTTACGCTACGGGACAGCTAGTCCGGAGTTAGCGTTACGCTATGGGACGGCTAGCATGGTTAGCGTTACTCTACGGGACAGCTAGCCTAACGATGACGCTAAGCTACGCAGTTAGCGGCAGCAGCCGCTAAAGTTAAGCTAAGTTGGTTGTTGTTCGCAGGGGTTCTCTAACTCCGAGGGGCATGAAGAGCAATGTGCTTTTTGTTGGTGTATAGCTGCTATTTCATGCTCTGTGCAAATGTGCAGACTTTACATTATTGCTCTGTCGTGAAGTTTTACGAAAAGGAACAGATTTTTTTACAAAATAGGAAATACTTTAATTCACCGCGTGACTCCGTGAAATACACCTAATCTTGCTATACATTTAAAGTTAACGTTACTAAAATTACAATACTCTAAAATGAGACTTTTCTATTTTTACCTTCAGGATTTATGCTATTTAAGTTAGTGGTGGTGGAGGGTCATTTATCCGAGGCGCAGTTTGCCTTAACTACCCTTCATTTAGGTTACTTTTAGTGCTAAACTTTACTTACATGGTAATAAAGTCAAGTATTTTAACAAATCACTACTACTACACCGTAGGAGCTGTTATTCCAAGTACTGTTGCTTTCATGAACATACTTAGATCATTACACTGTAAGTGGCTGCAAGTACTCGGACATCTGAATGTTCATTTTTAAGGAAATTGCATCAGGACGTCAATCAAGAAATACAGTGTTACCACGTTGAGGGGCCGAACACACTCTTTGGCAGAGGTGTGAATACTCCTCCAATGAGCGCCATAATTAACCGCATATTGCAGACCATATCCACCCTTATCTCATTGAGCTGAGATGAGTGACAATGTTGTTGTGGTTTTAAACATGCATTGTCTTGCACACAACACACAAAGCTGCAGCACTCTGATCCATTGTGTAAGTACTTTTTTCTATTTCTATATTTCATTTCGCCGAAACATGTCATCATCCCTGTAATCCCTTAAACTTGCTCCGCATATAGCAATGACACCGAACTCGTCGTATATTGCGTCGTTTTGTTTACGTCTGGGTGGGTCACAAGTGTCCTTCTGTCTCTGCCCTCCGAGCATCCCTCCCCCGTGCTGTTGTGGCCGCTGAGCTAGACTAGTGCACGAGGGCCCGGGCTTAATTAAGCCCCACAGGAGCAGATGGCCCGCTGGCAGCCTCCTCTGATTGTCAGCCGTGCACGGCCACTTTAAACGTAGCTAAACGCTTCTGCGCGGGAGGGGTTCAGGAGCTCCTTCCAAGAGCTGGGGGATAGACCTGCCAAGTGTAATTAGCTGTGGGACGTAGGCGGAGGAGGGGGGGAGGGCCGCCAGGAGGCAACAGGTGGCATGTGTGTGTGTGACGGACTGTATGACGACGGTGGCTTTTGGGAAGAAAGCCGTGTGTTCTTTTGGTAATTGAGGGGTTGTCATCTTCCGTGCGTAATTGTGTGGGTAACTTAGTAGTAATAAGGCCACAGATGTAAGTTGAATGGTCTTTTTCACAAATCTGTTTGCAGGAAACAGGTGTGTCGAGCCTACGAGGTATTTAAGTCATTGCAGGTTGGGAGAAAGAGAGCCGTACCTAAGTCTCTGAATGGTATTTAAAGCTAATTTTATTATGTGAAAAAATGAGACAGGCTTTCTGAATACTTGTTTTTGACCTGTAGTGAAAACATTCACTCCTCACTTTACGGGTTCTGTTCTAAAATATACAATTAATTGTACATACAATGAACTAACTCCAAATGAATTTCTCCCAGAAAGCCAATTCACCAATTTGTGAATCGAGGTTGATGCACAAAGATTCCTTAAATAAATTAGAATCATTTCATAACAACCAGGGGATCTCAGGTAGCCAGTGTGCTCGGGATCTTCATATATATTGTGTTTTTTTATTATTTTGGGATCCGTAAAGGCTACTGATGGATATTTTCATTAAGCTGCTCATGAGGACGGGACAGTTGGGGACAAGTGTACCTAAGCAAGTGACTGGATGATGTTTGACTAATGGGATATCAGGTGACTAAGGCCGCGGAGCTTTACATGATAGGAGTTAGATTAGTGGTGTAATAGATGGGAGGAGGTTAGAGTAACGTTGGCCTCTGTACACCAGGGCTGGGAAATATGACTAAAATCACTATGTGGGTATGTTCATATCTCCATAACAACATATATTCTTGTTTTATGCCATTCAATAAATACATGATTTTGTATACATTTTAATTATCTGTTTGTTTTTCAGGAGGACAGATCGCAGACAGAAAATAAAGGACATCCTCCTCTGGCGTGCTATGGCCACTGTTTTGACCAGTGCTTCATATTACTCAAGCAGATCTCAGTAAACACTGGGGTGGTTTGAGCTCTATGCTGCTGCAGCAGGGATGATCATGTCCCATATGAACGGTCATGTGCAAGACGCCTCCGGTCAGGCCAAGAGCCACAGGGAGAGGGCGGTGGACTGTCCAGGGGACGGAAGTAGAATAGTCAAATCTTCAAACTGCAGTGCCCACATGGAGAGGATTCAGCACTACCAGGAAGAACTTAGGAAAAGGAGAGAGGAGGAGAGCAGGGGGAAGCATGACATCGACCCCAATGCTTCACTGAGGCTCAAGAAGCTGTCACAGAACCCCATGGTGGGCATTGACAATCCCACCTTTGAGGGGAAGGAAAAGGCCACCAAAGACGCATTCCCCCAGGATCCAGTCGCTGGTGAGTTGGGGGTCCTTATTGTGGTCCAGAAGGGTGGAAGGAGGAAACAAGGTCACAAAGGAGCGGAGCCGTCCTGAGCAATCAGAGAGCACTAATAAAACAAAGGGAGTAAAACAATGACTATGGAGCAGAGGGTGGAGGGGAGGAGGTTTTATGTGATTACGGGGCCGTCCGCCATTCCTACTGGTTGTGTGGTCAAATTACAGAAAAAAAAGACGTAAGGGCTTTTGCACAAAATGTTTAATTTACTTCCTCACCTCTGCCAAGGAGGTTGAAAAATAACAACCTTTGGGAAAGTTTAGAAGGGTGTATAACATGCCACGGAAGAACACACATTTAGGAGTGGATCTGAATCATAGGGCAGATAACACGCGTTGTTTTTCACTGATGGGGAACAACCTTGTCTGACGTCTGCAGGCTCCCAGTGACCTTCTAGTCGCAAAGATTGTCTAGTGAGAGCAGAACCGATAGTTGACTGTCATGCAGAACGTTCTGCTATCTTTGATAGTCCACATGCACAAAATGACATCCCTTCCATGTGAAGACAGTGATGCACGCACGGTTTGGCCTTGCGTGTTTGACACACCTGTTGCAGAAGTGTGGACCAGCAAGCCATACACCTCTACACCTCTGAAAGAAGAGAGCTAGAATCCGGGAGACTCAAGAGCCTACGTCCAGTCTTTGACTAAACACCTCCCAGAGTGATGTAAAAGCTCTTCTGCATATTATATGAAGCTCCACTCAAAGAAACAGACATGTTAGCATTTTGACTATTGCTGAATTAGGAGATGTCCCTCCGTTTTCTCTGTTTTTGCCTCTGCACTCTTCCCTCATTGTCTCCACCTCTTGCTCAGAACTGGCGGAGTTGTTGCAGGCTCTGAAGTGGGCGCATCACTGCCTGGCTGATGCGCAGAGCCAGCAGGACGTGGAGCTGATCATGCAGCTCCTTTCCAAGGAGGACTTCAAGAATGCTTATACCATCTTCATTGCTGTATCCCAGCAGATGAGCAAAGTCATTCCCACCTCACCTCTCACAGCACAAGCAGAAGATCTCTGCCAGGAGGTACGCATAATGATCATTTTGAAACACCAGAAAAAACAACATCGTCTGCAAGCACTTAGACTTTTCTTTATTATTAAAAGTTAAAGTCTTGCTGAATTGGGGTAAGCAGACTTAACTTTTAGTGGAGTAGTGAATAACTCACTTTACCTTTTTGAGAAAAGCATGCCACAAAATATGTTTTGAAGAGAGACCAGCAGTAGTAGATTAGTAAGCGGTGGCATACGCACATAAACACGCTTCGATTGTATTTGCCAATTTGTGTTTTTTGGAACACATTGAGCCTGTCGTTACAGACACGTACCTTGTGGGTGAAGTTTCTGCACAAACTCAGTGAAGCATGAAACATCTTTGCCTGTGGTGATTTTTAATTCAACAAAGCTTCCCAAAAGACAGCCGTGCCAGTCTGAATAATTGTGAAATGTAAATTATCTTTTCAGTCAACAAGGGGAGTGAAAACAATAAATGAGGCATCTGTTGGATCCCGGCCACGCATTTAATTTGTGAGTGCTGTGAATTGATAAGAGGCAGAAGGAAAATGTTGTGTTGAAAAGATTAAGGTGAAAGAATGGTGAGATGACAGGAACATGGACATGGAATGAAAGGGGAGAAAGTCAAAAGTCAAATATGTGATTCGGTGTCACCGGTTGGGAAATATAACTGTATAAAACATCGGTCTTTTAATTTTCCTGCGACAGTGCTGACCCACCAACCCCATTTCCAACGTACAGACAGCCCCAAAAAACGCATCTCCGTGTCCCGGTTTGAGTAGGCGGGAACGTGCCACACAAAACGCGGCCCGATTGTTGCCACTGAAGGCGGGCGACAGTAATTGACTCGTGTCGAGTGTTCCAATGCAGCCACAGACGCACAAAGCTCGGTTTTGCCGACGGAAACTGTGATACGGTTTGCTGTGAATTGGGTCGGGGCTCTGTTCAAGATGACAGGCTACACCCGCTACGGGCGATTCATTAGGATTAGTGTCAACTTCTGATAGGTGTAGCGTGAGAGAATGTAACACTCAGGCTGCCGCAGTGTGATTTTCGGCAGCCGACCTTGTTTTTGACGAAACGGGGCTGCTAGAGTTCATTCAAAGGACAGCGAGCAGTACGGCTGTGGAATCTGTATTTCAGTCTTAACAGAGGTGGTTTGAGGATAGACGGGCTGAGGGAGATTATCTGTCTTTTTCTTGTCACACACACACAAACGGCACGTTGTCTTCCTGCGTACAGTAAAGCAGTGCGTTCACTCCCCCCCCACCACCACCACCACGCACATATCCCAAAGTGCTTAACAACACTTAATAGTTTGAGCTGCAGTGTGTCAAAACTAAGTGCCCGGGCTGTGTGACACTCAGATTGACTGTCGGGTAAACTAATCTCCCGGCAGCCCGTGTGTGAGCGGTACAGCACGTCGCAGGAAGGAGGGCCGGATCTGGGCGGCTAGAAAAAGAAACTCCAGCGGCTTACGGCGGTGTGGGCGGCCAGGGCGAATGGCTGCTCGGGGGGAGGGATGGGGGGGGGGAGAAAGTGCGTCATCTTGTTAGCGAGGGTTTGATTAGTGTGATGGATGAACTAAGCTCCAAACAGGCGAGGAAAGAAGGAGTGTCAGAACACTTACATGCCTTCTTTTATTATTTAATACACAGTCCGATTCAACACACACAACAAAATGAATCCTTTTCTGGATTGTGTACAGTATAGGATTAGTGTCTAGACTTAATATAGAAATATTTACATCCCGACTTTGGTCATGTTGACCTTGTAATCCTGAAGTATAGGATTGTTATACAGTTTGGTGTCTGGCAAACCTCTTCTCAAGCCAACATCCAATCCTTCTCAATGAACAATGTTGGGTCTAAGAAAACGAGAAAAGACTCGTGAAAAAGATATCCAGACCAAGCGAGCGACACAAGTAAAGTAACATGTGAAAATACAGTTTCCATCATTCCAAAGCACAGCACGTCAACCACTCAGGAGCTTTTCTGCGTTTAGCTCAATGCAAATGGTACTGAGACGTTCACACTGTATTGTGTCTCTATTCAGGTCCAGAAGATCCTCCAGTCCAGCCAACATAAGGAGGGTTTGGAGCTCAAGGCCCTGCTCACCAATCCTCACCTACAGGTCAGATGTCAGCTTCTGAGTCGGGACTTACATTGATACCCTTACAGGGCTTTTACAAAAACTCACTCTTCAGGTGATATCCAGATAATTTCAATACTGGAAATATAATTATTGTTATACTGCACTAGTCCAATTCAACTGTGACGCAACACGCGGCGGTGTTGTGTTTGACCTAAATCCATGTTGTTACTCGTTACACATTGGAATGATTGCCCTTTTAAATATTTGCTAAACAACAATTCTCCCCTTGCTCTGCTTCACAGATTGGTTTTGAATTCCCTGATTTAAATGTAGGTTGAACAAAACATGAAGTTTTCATCAGCTCGAATTAGTGTACATTTTGATTATGAAATAATTGCAAAAGGCCTTCTGACAGATGCTTCTCTTATATACAGTAGCGGTCGACAGACAACTACCACATGCAACTGGTTGGAATGATATCATTACATGATGAAATCAATGACAAAGTAGAGGTATAACATCTCATCTTTATTCTTTGTGAGCAAGATTATTGTGACGTCGTGGGAGGCGATCTGCTCGTAGACATGATTTGTGTCTCGTCAGTCAAACAGAGAAGAAGAATCCAATATAAGAAACTGATATTCAAATTGCATTTCTCTGAAGTTGCCTGAATTTGTCAGTTTAGGCTTCACTGATTCTTCTGTAGAAAAAAATGTCACCCCATTATCCTCCATTAGAGAGGCGGTAAGGTGAGAGAAGACCCCATGTGGGCGAAGCTGCTTTGATTCTATGGTTGAGGGTTCTGACAGGCGAACGCCAGAGGTCTGATTTTCGGCCAACATAACTTTGAACTACCGATTTCTCTCTCTGCCCTATTAAGCCCTCCGCTGAGCTGGATCCATGTAGCCAGCGGGGGCAAAGTGATGTGATGTGAGCCTGCCTTGTGACACAGAAAGAGGAGCAGTTTATGTTGCTCTCGGCGGGGCAGCAGAGGCTCACATGAGTCACGCTGTAGTATGTACAGGTACAACCTCGTATCCAAAACCGTATGGGCAGGTACACGTGTGTAATAGGCTCCTTAAGTTGGTTTCATCCTTAGAAATATGAGTTTCTACCCATAACCACTTTTTTTGGACGTAAATTGTTTTTTCAAGTGGTGTGTTTATAAAAATCCAATAATACGCTGTATTCTATAACGAGAGCAAAGATGTTTGAAAGAAGACACCTTTTTTGTTTTGTCTATGAGTTAACGAACAGGCGCAAAGTTAAATGGGATGAGCGTAAATCCGTCTGCACACTTCGACTAGTGATCATCAAAATAGCGCCTCCTTTGAGAGTTTGTCACCACTCAGGATGACATTCATTACAGTTATGCTCACTTCAGACAAGAGTTCTTTGTTCCATTCGAAACCCTTAGAACCCTTTCGGAAAGAAGACTTCTTCAAGGATAGTCAGCCCTTACCCTTTTTAAGCCCCGTGGTTGTGCTCTTGTTAGCACCCTTACAAGGTGCTGGGAGAGGGTTCAGGGTAGAACTGTTAAACCATACAAGGATTCTCAGTAGAGCCTCTGTTAGCTTGATGGATTTATTAATATATTAAGAAAATGTTTTATCATAAACCAAAAATGGTTCTACAATGAGGATGAGCCAAATAACCCTTTATGGTTCTAGTCAGCACCTGCGTTTATGAAAGTGCAGGAAAAAGCGGATTGTGGACGGATTGTGTGCACGGCAAAGCTGAGCCCGGTCTCTGCTCTCTCAGGTCCCCTCCGCTCCAGGACAGAGAAACTAATTTGGACCGACGGTTATTAATCGCGGAGCTCAGAGCGCTCTGTCACTTTAAATGAAGTCAAGGAGCGATCCTTGCAGTGCAAACCACTCAATAAATTTGCGTTATGTTGTCAACCGCGCTACGTTATTTTCATTATGTCCAACCTAAGCTTCTATAAAGGTCAACGACACGCAACCTGAAGCCATTCATGCGTTCATTTTCTTTAACTCATGCTGCCTCCTCCGTTATTTTTCTGTCTGTTGTGTGTGCGTGTGTAAAACCTGTGTCTGTACTGTTTGTGTCGCTGTGTTTGTCTTTGTGCGTTCGGCGTGGCAGGCTCTGATGCAGGCTCATGACAGCGTGGCAGGGCAGGAAGAGCCAGAGGAAAATCTGACTCAGTACATTGGAGAGACGGTTAAACTGGTGCGGCTGGTGAAGGCCCGTGACACTCCGCTGGTGAGACGCCGTCTAACACTACCCTGCTTTATTGCTGTGTACACACAGCACGTCTTTGTGTGTTTCTACACGGCTGAAACACACACAAGTTGTTACACAATCCTAAAACCTAAGTTGGTACTGTATGTAACACCAGTACAATGGAAATCTTAAATGATCCACGCAGCATTTAATTAGTTATTGACGCAACGACAAAAAGGGTGAATGATAAACAAAGACGCATATGGTTGTATGTAATCGTGTTATTTATTGTTGAGCCCAAAAATCAACAGGGCTACAAAATGCCTGTCAGTGTTAGATATCGGGAAAACTAAGATTTTGTTTGTGTGTGCGGCCATCAGGGTGCAACAGTACGTAACGACATGGACAGCGTGTTGGTGAGTCGTGTGGTCAAAGGGGGAGCAGCAGAGAAGAGCGGCCTCCTCAGCGAGGGGGACGAGATCCTGGAGATCAACGGGATATCTATTCGTGGGAAACACGTCAATGAAGTCCACGACTTACTGGTAAAGGCCCAGAAGTTGCTTTGTTATATTATAATTAATATAATATTAGTGAGTTTGACAAACATGTCAAGCCATAGAATATCCAAAGGTGGTCGTTGTTGAGAATTAGTGGGATCCACTCGTTCCTTTTTCTTGAATATTAATTAGACACCTAATGTATTTATTTTCGGAAAGAAATGACAAACAGCAAAACAGTGCTGAAATTTAAAAAAAATGGAATTGAATAGAAATATGATCTTGTCGTGTTGATTCATTGCTTCTCACCTTTTCCATTAGCAACAAATGCAAGGCACTCTGACCTTCCTCCTCATCCCGAGCTCTCAGATTAAACCTGCTCCACACAGGCAGACTGTGGTGAGTCTCTAATGATGGTTGTGTGTGCGTGTGTGGGAACGCCTGTTTGAGAACACGCAACGCCAACCGTGAGGTTTCAAACCCCGTCCACAGATGCACGTACGAGCTTACTTTGACTACGACCCCTCCGATGACCCCTTCCTGCCGTGTCGGGAGCTGGGCTTGTCCTTCCAGAAGGGAGACATCCTCCATGTCATCAGCCAGGACGACCCCAACTGGTGGCAGGCCTACAGGGACGGAGATGAGGACAACCAGCCTCTGGCGGGACTTATTCCAGGTAGGCATCTTGTAAAATGTATAAATGTAGTTAATTGCTTGACAAGGGCAGATAACAACTGCAAAGAAAGAAATTCTACCAATACAAAAAAACAACATCTACTGGTGTGGTCAGTTGCTTCCATAACACATTTACACACATGTGCTGTATCAACACTAAACAGCTGTATGCTTTACTACAAATATACATTTCTCAGTCTCATTTTATGTATTCTTTTCTTAATATCTTGCATTTTGTTCTGTTCAGTGCTTGTGGCTAAAACATATGAGAAAGAATAATTAATAGTTATTGTTACATCAACACAAAACGTTCTGCAAAAAAAACTGTTCTCGGAAAGAAGAACACCTGGTGTTAGAACAAAAACGTGTGGTTAGATAGTAGATGCTAAATTTGAATACATTTGTTTATTATAAATTGTATAACGAGTGCTCACATTTAGGTCCATTTAAAAAAATATTACTGTAATATTACTAGAATATGTCACACCACATGGGACACTGGACAAACACAGTAAGTATCGTGAGTAATAATAAACCAGAAACTACAGTTCTGGCAGGAAACACCACCCATCTGGCACATCAAGCAGATTAAAACCAACACCTTAGAATTATTTACAATTAATCTCTGCTGCAATTTCTGTGCAAAGAAAGGCTGGAAGAAAATGAGTTTAAGTAGTGGAAATTGAAAGAGTTTGTTTGTGGCTTTTGCTCAACACTAATAGGTGGATTATGAAAAATCATTCCAAGCCAAAATTTAGATGGTGTTTTTTTTGCTTCTTTCCGTTCCATGTTCTTAATTCATAAGAGCTTTTGAAATAGAAAACGCCGGTTTCCTGTATGTATATTTACAGTTGGAGAGCTGATCTGCATGTTTTTGCTTTTCACTTTTTCAGGAAAATGCTTCCAGCAACAGAGAGAAACCTTGAAGAAAACTATAACAGACAAGAGTCAAGAGCAGCAAGGTAAGCACCCGATGTGTAAACACACACACTGTGATTCTAAAATACAAGATATCATTTGCAAACATTTTGCTTCAATCCCGACTTAAATCACAATAGAGTTTGTGGTGTCCAGGCGCTTGTGACAAAGTGAATGTGAACCATTCTAAAGCTTTGTTGACTTGTCATTTCTCCAGGGAGGCTTTGGTATGTAAAGAAAATCAAGAGACAGAAGAGGAAGATCATGTCTACTTCGTTAAGCAGAAACACTGGTACGACTCTACTTGTTACTCCTTTTTTTTCCTCACTGGTTTTCTTCAAAAACGTAACATTTCTTGAAGTGGGTCGCCGGTAGAGAAAGTTCCTTCCTCGACGACCGCTGTTGAGAAGCTGCATCCGTAACCTGCAAAGCACCTGCTGTCGCTTCTCATTCAGCACAAGTGCAAGACTACCCCCCCCTGTCTTGAGCAGCTCTCCAAGTGTCCACACATTGTCAGCGTTAACCCTACACGTTAGCCGGAGTTGACACGTCTTGTCGCTGTAGCAGGAGCTTGTCCAGACTTGTGTGTCACAGCTCAGATTAGTCTCGTCTTCACAGAAAGGATCAGAGCAGGCATCAGCAGGTGCTCAGCAGAGGCCTAAATGGCTTGAAGGGGGATGTGTGTGACATGTGTGATGTCGCTAGTTAAGACATTGAAACGCACACGCACGTAGCCTGTAGTAGGTCGAACATGAAGCTGTCCGTTGGTAGGAAAGACCAGAGAGAGGGACAATCTCACAGTTACAGAGCAGCATCCCAAGAGCTACAGAAAAACGCTGTACGGGGTTTCACTGTCTATCCCAACTGTCTCTTCAGACTATGATGACATCCTGACCTACGAGGAGATGTCCCTTTACCACCAGCCAGCCAATCGCAAGCGTCCCATCGGCCTGATCGGTCCCACAAACAGCGGTCACGACAATCTGCGTCGGAAGTTTCTGTCCATTGAACCAGAAAAGTTTGCTGTTGCTGTTCCTCGTAAGTCGGCGCCATGAGTTCAGCTGAGGAGCAAAACAAATGTTTGGAGAGTTGTCATATCTCCTTTCAACCCCGATACCTACACAAAATTCCCCAAATGTCCAATGTCAAAACATTTAACTGACACCTTATAGACTAGGAATGAAGTAATAATGGTCTGTCCTTCTTCATGGCAGACACCACCAGAATCCCAAGGATACATGAGCGGAATGGCCGCGAGTACCATTTTGTGAGCCGGTCTGCCTTCGAAACCGACTTGGCAGCAGGGAAGTTTGTTGAGTCGGGGGAATATGAGAAGAACTTGTACGGCACCAGCACCGACTCAGTTCGACATGTCATCAACTCCGGACGGATCTGTCTGCTCTGCCTCCACACCAGAGTAGGAGACTTGAGTACCCGTTACGGTCTCGACAATTCCCAACATTGTTGTTCCGGTCTTTACATCCTCCTCCTCTTGTCAGTCACTGCAGGTCTTAAGGTCCTCTAACTTGAAGCCCTATGTGATCTTCATCGCTCCTCCTTCCCAGGAACGACTGCGCACTCTGCTGGCCTCAGACGGGAAAACACCAAAGGTACCCGCAGTGTTTCCCTATCGACGCTTTCCACACACATTGTAACTTTCAGGCTTTGTACATCTTGCATGAAGAATCCCTTCATCAAGACGTTAATAGGTAAAAACTAATATATGCAATGAAAGTATTGTATCACATGAAACGGATACTCAGCTGTCAACTTCTATTCAGATCCTTTAATTATAAAAGTGAGAATGACCTTACAAGCATTTATAATGTATGTTCAATACATATTATTCATTCTAGAGGAAACCGTCTTGTTTTGTGTTCATTGCACAGCCTGAAGGGCCAAGGATGCCACTGAAAAGGCCCGCGAGATGGAGCAAACCTTCGGCCACTTCTTTGATGCCACCGTCGTGAATATGGATCCGGACCAAGCTTTCCATGAGCTGCGCAGGCTGATAGACAAGCTGGACACCGAGCCACAGTGGGTGCCCACGTCTTGGCTGTGCTAGAGATCACAGGCTGCAGCTGCAGGGAGCCAGTGTTGGACAGACGTGAATGTTCCAGGTGATCGGCCGTGCTAATCGTCCTTGGATTTTAACTCGGTCATCGTCCTCGCTAACGGAAGACATGATCTTTACCACATGATGCAGGGATGGACTCTTTCTCACGTTTTATTTTGTTGCTGTGTCTGTGTGCGTCTTTGTGATTTTTTTTTTCTTCCTGTTTTGTTCATTGTTTGTCTCAGTTTTATGCAAATTCATCTATCAATTACATAGAAACGTCTCTATCCTATTAGCAATAGTTATTTATAATTGTAAATATATATATTTTCTAGCCAAAAAGATCAAATATTTTATGGAATTTCCTGTGTGTGTGATATACAAATGGTACACTTGACTTGAAGGATGTTACAATTTTTAAATGGCTTCCTGCTGAAGCACCAAACAGAAGAGAAGCCCCTGTGCTCAAAGTGGCTGCCGTGTCACGGCTTCCCTTCAGTAACACAGATGGGACACAGTGCTGTAACTTGCAGTTTTTGAAGGTACTTCTACACCAGTGTCAGTATTATTTTTTTGTAGTTTCATGTCTCAACTACACTGTGATAACAGACCTCAAATCTGAAGTATTGTCTCTAAGATGGTGATCATTACTATCAGTATACCATGCTGCAAAGTACTGCTTGTGATTGTTTCCACCAGGTTTGTCTGAAACAAACAGCTTATTGGTTAAGGTGTAAATCCAACAAATATGGGATTACTTCTTGGCAGAGAATTTACTGAATCATGAGCACAATTCTTGAAAAGTATTAATAAAATCAGATACATATCTGCACAACTGATCTACGCATTGATTTCGGTTGTCTCGTATTCCCACATTAGAGAACATCATTTGGAATTGGTTGGTAAAAAAAACATGGTTACGATCTCAACCTTTGCAAAGGCCTACAGTAACTAAAAATGTGTTCATGTGGCATTTCTCATCTTGCTCGGTTATTTGCACAAAATGTTTCCTCGCACATGTGGAAGGAAATTGGATGCTGCGCTCCGACCCTAAAACCAAAAAGCTTCCAAATTAGTATAAAAGGGAAAATGATGTTGTGCTAACAGTGTCAAGGAATCTAGGCGATGATTGGACATATTTATTTGAATGACGTTTGGGATTTGTTGACTTGCACTTTACAGCAGGGCCGTTTTCTGGTTCAATGGTAAACATCCTCAAATGAGGTAACACAAAAACTCCACAACACAGACTCACACACTTTGAAATCTACAACCAGCGTAAGTGCCACAGCATGCGATGGGTGTTTGGGTGTTTATGAGGAGCAGGAAATATCTACAAGTTAATCACAGCGAATCCTCCTTTGACTTCACTCACAAACCATGTGTATGCATCTAAGAGTGTTGTCGTTTATGTTGTTTAGTGAACAGTACGTAGGGAACTGATTCCCCTTGAGGGCAACCAGCCCTTTGGTTCTTTACAGTGATAAAATCTGGAAATACACTGAAGCAATAGAACAAATCATCACAGACAAGTACTCAGCAAACCACTTTCATCACTTGCAGACATAAACGTGGCCTTAGAGGCACAGAATAAATAGGATTTTATGTGAAGTCGGGGACTCGTCTGCCCGGAGAGCTGTTCACTCGAACAGCATGTCCTCGTCCGTCTCCTCCGTCAGCATGTTGGTGGGCTCCGCGATTGGACCCAGTTTAGCCAGACGGGCGGCGATCTCCAACTCTGTCCTCTCCCTCAGCTGCTTCTTCTTCTCCTGGATTTTCTTCAACCTGCCAGAGCACAAAATCAGTTCAGTGGTGAGAATGAATAAATACATTAGTTTGAATGGAGAGAAAAAAAGACGGGGAGGGGGGGGGGGGGTCGATAAAATGTTCTCACCTGTAGAACTCCTCTCGTTCTCTCTCATCCAGTTCTGTGATTATGTAGGTGAGGGTGCGATCAATCCGGGGAATAATCACTGCAAAGGGGGATGGAGATGAGCTTTAATTGATCGGTCTTGGTCCTTAACTACGTGACTATCAAAAGGCAGCGGTTGGGTGAAGCGTGTGAATTTACCGTGTTCAATAGCGTTCACGCGGCGGTTGGTGATCTTTATGGCTTCGTCCAGAGTGACAAAAGATGTCTGCAGACAGAGAGTGGGAGGCGTGACGGAACATCTCATACCGAACTTTTCTTATACTGATTCGGAGTTCTGAGGTCGTTTTAATTGGTATTTCAAACATTCACTTCGAAAACCTTAGATGAAATTCCTTATGCTGTTTAATGGTTTAATTATTATTCCACCACTGACCGGTTCACCTGAGGAGTAATAAAACTACGCTGAATTCCGGTATATGTGTCGGAGCGCTCCCTACCTGCAGGGAGGCCAACTCCACCAGCAGCTCAACAGCTCGGGCGTAGTTCCTCTTCAACCTGGACAGCTGCTCTCCTCCTCTGGCCAGACCAGTCAGCTCGTAACCTGAAAGGCGCCGGCAGGGTGAGAGCGTGTCGCAGTCAGTCGTCACGGAAACGGAAACTTTTATCCAAACATGACTTACTGTCCCCGCCTTCTTGGTAGAATTCAAAAACTGGAAGGGTGACACCTAAAAGAAAAAGAGAAAACGGTGTTAAGATGAAGCATATAAAAACTGGTTTTATCAAGAGTCAAAGTGAGAAAGTGTGTTCACACTAACCGGCCACGTTGTCCCTCTTGGCACGGACTTTCACTTGGGCTTTGTTGACATTCTGGATGATAGTTGTGCTGTGGACAGAATCACAGATGTGAGCTACAGTTGCGTCTTCTTTTAAAAGCCACAACCCGTGACCGTTTAGTGATTCATTCGTTCACCTGAAGTCTCCAGCTGCAAATTTGGCTTCAGCCAAAGAGAAAGCCGCCTCCCTCATCACCTCTCCCATCTTAGTCTTAGTCTGGAGAAGAGAGAACAGAAGTCCTCATTCGGGGAACTATGGAGAGCACTTAAAAAGACACGGATGCGAGGAGAACAACCGATCCTTTTCAAACTGACTTCGATAATTTTGCGAAGGATCTGACGGAAGCGCATAGAGAGGGCGTCGGATTTCTTTTTGAGGAGGTTGCGGCCGGTCTGCGCCCCCTTGAGCCGAGCCTTCATGATGGTCTGGACCCTGCAAGGCGAAAAAACAAAAACACATTTTGAATGCCGTATCTAAATCTCACCAATTACACTGCATGTGTACAAAGATTACATGTTTTTTGTTTTTGTTATGTACATTCTTTGGCACGCATGTAAAGAAAGTACAGCTGGTTCTTCTAGTTCTCTAGCTTTTTTATGGTGGTTTTATTTTATAACATGCAGGCACAGATCAGGAACCCTAGTTCACCCTGAATGCTACATTCAATCCCTCCAATAGATTCAGACACCACCTCAGACTGACAGCTCGCACTGTGATGATGCTAGCAAGATCACATGACTAAAGAAACGCAGTCTTCCTCTTTTAAACAGTCCCCTGGCATCGGCGTAGAAGACACTTTTGCAGACAACAACCATCGTCTAACGTTATACAAGACACTGTGACACAATTCGCAAGTCGCCAAAAACAGATGATTAACATTTGGCTTTGAGGCTACAGTGGGGTTAGCAACTAAGCTAGCAAACAAGCTGCTTACATTCTGGAGGGGAAAACGTCGAGCCTCTCTTTTCCAGACATCTTCTCGTCGTTTGGTCGATGATGGCGGACTTCTGTTTACTGAGCTTCCCCCAAAAACAATGACTGAAACGTTAGCTTTGTTCTACTTGAATAAACACATAACCCGTTGTTTTTTGCGCAGGATTAGCCTTGGTCGATGTTCGTGATCTTGTCCTCCTGCTCTCTCTCTCTCTCTCTCTCTCTCTCTCTCTGGTGATCAGCTGACCTCGGATCATATGACTGGACCTAACGCGTTCTGCGCATGCGCGGGCCGATAAACCCTGACGATCTTTTCCGGGTCGAGAAAGTTAGCACACCCACGAATGTGAGCTAGCGGGCCCCAAGTCGTTCATTTAGAAACCTCCCAAGGACCATTAATCCGATTTTTAAACGCGTACAATACAGAACATTCAAGTGTATCATTCCGTAACCATATGACACAGGTGAGTTTGTTGTTTTATAAAGAGGGTTTTTGCCGGGTAGCGGCGAGCCTGCTAGCTAACTGCTAGCCTCGGCAGCGGTGCATGTGCCGCATGTGAGTTGTGAACCGGGTAATTAGCCATGAAGCTAACGGGTATCAAAGTGAACAGTCTGTAAAACCTGAACCACCATCTTCTGGTATTTAACTCCGTGATTGTTACCAGTTACAGTCGCTATTAATGTGTTGCCTCCATTTAAGCGCACGTTAACATTTAACATCAGTTCGCTAACTCGCCGGTCTGCATTGCATCATCCCTTTCATAGACAATACAAAAACCGCTAACGTTACATCTCCCTCTACTTATTCTGGGGGGGTATTTCAGTTTTCTTCTGTTATTTGACTTTGAAAAGTGAAAATTGTTTTAAAATCGGCATCCAGAAACTAGCACCAACGTTGTGTCATTCAAAATATCACGTTCAATAATTCTCATTGAGCGTTTTAAACACCCCCTGCGAACAATCGAGTTTAATCTCATCTCAAGTTAAATGGAAATCCATTTGAACCCAAAGTAAATAAGATAAAGTGGAGCTAGAGTGCATTAATACATGTTAGATGTTCATACAACCAGCATGTGCATTGATGAAGACATTTGACATCTAAGTTTGTTTTTCAACGTTTTGCATCAAGACATAGAAAAAAATAACTCGTAAAATATATTAATAGTTGTCGGGTCCAAGATCCAGTCAAGTCCAAAGATGTTAAGTAGATAGTAGTTTGTACTTGTGTCTGTTTTTTTCTTCAATTCAACATGCTCTGTTTTTGAATTCTTTCAGCTTTGAAAATACCCACATTCTCAATTCAGTTTTTCTGTTTTAAAAAAAAGAAATGGGAAAAAGACGATTTTCTGATCAATGATCGGCATCATTAGGGTTGTTTTCTCAAACTTTAGAAAAGCCTATCCCACTCGAGAGGATTTTCGCTCACATTGTAAGCTTCAAACATCTCACCTCCTTTCTTCTGTTTCCATCCTCTCAGCGATGCCGGCGCTCAGCTGTCGATTTTACCACCACCGGTTCCCGGAGGTGGAGGACGTTGTGATGGTGAATGTCAGGTCCATCGCCGAGATGGGCGCTTACGTCAGCCTCTTGGAGTACAACAACATCGAGGGCATGATCCTCCTCAGCGAGCTGTCCCGTCGGCGTATCCGCTCCATCAACAAGCTCATCCGCATCGGCCGCAATGAGTGCGTGGTCGTCATCCGAGTCGACAAAGAGAAGGGTGAGTGCCCGGAGGCCGTTATTGTTCAATTTAACCAGAGAATAATTTTACTCTGGTGTGTCTTCTGTTGACACAACTCATATTTGGACAGGTTTAAAAGTATCCGCTGCGGGGGTTTACAATAAATACACTTTACGTATTTATTAGTTACTTGCATCTCAACGTCACAAACTTCAGAGAACAATGAGGGGGAAAAACATCTGTTTTAATATTTATAATTAATATTTAATACCATAGTTGTCAGCATATTTGTTTCATATATATTATTCTGCGTGGGATGAATACATGCTGTGATAAAAAAAGTAATCGCTTCATGCGTAAATACTGATTCTTTATTTTACGCTTGTTTTGAGATCAATTAGTCACATTTACCGCAAAACAATAGAAGTATGTTGTATAATAATGCAGCAGCCAGAGAACAACTTCTGAAGCCTAGCGAAAGATGAGGAATCGATGAATGAGGATATTGATTAATCAGTCGTGATCAGATATATGTATATCAACATTTAGAGGGATAATGGTCGCTTGTTCTGTTTCAACTAAACACCAAGACATCAAATGTCTGCTCTCTTTCAACATGTAAAGTTTTTTTTAAAGCTTCAAATATGTTTCTTTTATGATGTAATTTGCGCCAAAAAATAAGACGACATGTCATTTCTGGTCACATAAATGTATTTAATGGTGCTTTTAAGTTGCTGCTTGACGGTCCCATTCAGAGAGTTTAGTTAGTTAGTTTAGTTAGTTAGTTCGCTAGCTAGTTAGTTAGTTTAGTTTTTAAACAGTAGTGGAAATCTTGTTTTGGAAAGTCTCCTATTGCAGATCTTAAGTTACCACAATAACCCCTGTGCTTTGTCTTCAGGATACATTGATTTATCCAAAAGAAGAGTTTCACCAGAGGAGGCCATCAAGTGCGAAGACAAATTCACCAAATCCAAAACTGTGAGTCAAATTTGCCCTACGGATTTTTTAAATTAAATTTTGAAATGCTTGCCGACGTCATTTGTGTTCAGCATTGCCAAAAGGGCAATTATACTTTCACGATAACATTTTACTACGTTTTTTTTTGGGATCGCTCCCAGCGTTTTTATTTCCGTTGACCTCTCTGTGACCCTTCGGATGCATTGTGACGTCGGCGCTCGTTGCGTCCGCAGGTCTACAGCATCCTGCGGCACGTTGCCGAGGTGCTGGACTACAGTAAGGACGAGCAGCTGGAGGACTTGTACGAGCGCACCGCCTGGGTGTTCGATGAGAAGTACAAGCGGCCGGGATACGGAGCCTACGACGTCTTCAAGCAGGCCGTCTCGTAAGTGGTCGTTTCCCGCCGCGAGGCGAGTGGTCCGCCCAGCGACGGTATGATTTGATGACGATGAATCAAACTTTGGTCCTCTTCCCCGCAATAGAGACCCGGCCATTCTGGACTGCCTGAAATTGACGGACCGGGAGAAGGACGTGCTCATTGACAACATCAACAGGCGACTCACTCCGCAGGCCGTCAAAATCCGAGCAGGTAACGAGTGTAGCAGTGTGAGAGTTTCACTGTTGTCTCCATGGTTACTATCAATAACCTTCACAGGACAGCTTGACAAATGGTTTTATATATTGATTTTAAAAATTGTATTTCACTGTTAAGTAACTAAAGCATGGACATTCTTCTAAATGAAGAACGTCTGCTTTGAGCTTTTTTTCCTGCACAAAAGTTTGGATGAAGTCCTCTTGTCTCTTTAACTAAACAATTAAAATGACACCACCTCAATCAGTTTTTTTTAATACTGTACACGGTATAGCGGCTTATTCAGTTTTGTACGATTTGTATAATGAGATACTGAAATGCTGCAGCCACACGGCTTCCGTATGCTCCGATATCTGATGTGTTTTTTTTAGCTATGTCATGATCTCAGTTGGACTTTAATCTTTTTCTCTCGTTTCCTCCCCCACAGACATTGAAGTGGCGTGCTACGGCTACGAGGGCATCGACGCCGTGAAGGAGGCGCTGAGGGCCGGACTTGGCTGCTCCACGGAGGCGATGCCCATCAAGGTTTTCACCGCAGCCCTCTCGCCTGGGCCTTTTTTCGTTTCCGTGTGAACGCCACGTGGAAGCGCCGCTGTCGTGAGACTTAACGCGCTCTTCCTCTGCTTGGCAGATCAACCTGATCGCTCCCCCCCGCTACGTGATGACCACGACCACTCTGGAGCGCACGGAGGGCCTGTCCGTCCTCAACCAGGCCATGGCGGCCATCAAGGAGAAGATTGAGGAGAAGAGGGGCGTCTTTAACATCCAGATGGAGGTGAGTGACTCCACTTGCTTCACGTGCAAAGGAATTCTCCCCTTTAGACACACGATATAACTTTTATCAGTCCCACAGTGGGGAAACAGGAATCCACAAAGATATTATAAATCCCCAATGTCTCAGCCCAAGGTGGTGACGGACACGGATGAGACCGAGCTCGCCCGGCAACTGGAGCGGCTAGAGCGGGAGAACGCGGAGGTGGACGGAGACGACGACGCGGAGGAGATGGAGGCCAAGGCGGAGGACTAGATCCGGTCTGCAAAGCAAACTACATGAGGAGAGATGTGGACAGACCTGGCCACAGCCCCCCCCCCACCACCCACCTCACCCCTCCAGTCCATCAGATGTTAACTTTCACATTGCAAACACTGGCGTTAGTAGTTCATTGGCAAACGTCCCCGGTTGGCCGCAGCACAGCGAGCTCTCGTCCCGTGCAGATATCGAGGGAAGGTTGAGTTACAAAGCTAAACAACAATATAGTTTCTTTTTAAAATTACATCAATTTGAATAAATCTAAAAAATAAAAGCAGCTTCTTGAGGAGTGGAGCCCAGTGTCTTCAGTGTCCATGGCGCTTAACCTCTGGCGTGCGATTGGTTCAAAGGGGAGAAGCAAAGGCTCGTCAGGTGGGACTTATGTGCTTTTTTTTTTTTTTTCCAGTTAGGTTTTTACTGGCAAAAACTGTTTAGATCACATGACATCAATAAAGTTCTGGAAGTTTTGATCTTAATGTGTCTTTGTGCGCTGCTACTGACTTTTTAATTTTATTTAAAGATTAGTGTAACAGACCTTTATTTCAGCTCTAAGCAATGAGGTACAGAAATGGAGGAGAGTGATCGGGCCGGGCGATCTGCCCCATCGTGTTTGGGGAAAATGAAAGGACTAACAGTAGGGTATAATTAAATGGTCTCCGATGTTTTCTGTAATCGGCATTGTGGGTCATCGCCTGTTCACTGTTTATGGGTTTAATGTTGTTGGCGGGAAATACGAGCCAATAGATTGTTCTGTTATTTTTCAAATGTTACGTGTTCACGAATGGATTTCTCATCAATGCGTGAACAACGTCAACCAGATTTCAGTACTGTAAGTACACAGGGATCGGGGGCTCCCTATTTCAATTCAACATGTTATTCGCCTGCACCTCCTCCCGCCTACCAACAGCCAGCCAACACATTGACCTAATGAAGACAGGATTTACAATGCAGGGGCTACTGCAGGATGGGCATACTCAAGTTATGCATCTAAACCTCGACTAGTCTTTTCAGTCATTGTGCACTTTTTTTGGGCTATTTTTTTTAATTTTATGTCCCTCACTTGGTGACGTCCCAGTCATTGTTTTCCAACCTTTTTTAATCGCATTAAATACTTTAGTTTTCACGTTATTGGGTCTGAAAGTCGCTCGGCGCTGCCACAATTGCATTGTGGGTAATCACCTGTTCACAGTTTTGTGTCGTTAGCCAATAGTGTTCTGTTATTTCTGTGTGTGCGTGTGCACCTGAGAGAACGGTAGTGATATGTCATCCTGATTACCAAATAAGGTAATATCACCATGATAACCAAATAAGGTAATTTGGCTCCCAAAACTCACTGACATACCGTACGTCGCTGATATAACATAAAATGTATTTCTTTCTCTTTTTTTTTATTTATTTTTTATTTTTTTAATGTGAACGTGATTCAGTCGTGTAGGATTTGTATGCAACTTCAAAAACGTAACATTTATCAGATCCATTCATGTTGCAATAAACCAAGACAATCGAGTATCTGGACATGACTGCAAAAACCAAGCCGAAGGCCGTCTGTCACAACCAGATTAAGAAGGTACACGTTGACCCGCACATGGAAAAAAAAGGTAAGCAGATATCCACTGCAATCCGTCTAAATGTAAAAGTATATGTGCATTAATGTCTGCATATCTTAGCTGCTAGTTATATAATCTCGAGAATGATCAATACACGTTTTACAATCCGCTACAATCGTTGCTCTGAAACAAAATTAAATTGTGAGTTTTTTGGGAGCGTCGCCTCGAAGTATTACCCCTAAGCAATCAGAATTTGTATCCTAAAATGTAATTTATTTTCACTTCAATGCACTAGATTAGCTTGTTAACATTAGCTACTTTACATAAAAATATATATTGTAATCAAGATAACTTAATTACTTAACCTTCATGGATATTAATTGATTGTTCTATCTGACTTTTTTGCAGCATTTTCTGACTACAAAAGTGTCTGCTATCCCCCAAAGAGTGTCCACCTCACTGACTGCACCATCCCACTGCAAGAGTGTCCTGGTCCACCTAACTGACCTGCCAGGCATAAAACGGTGAATGTTTCTGACTGAAAAAGCGATTCCAATGTTGAAAAGCGCATGTGTGATGGTCTAGCTAAATTAGATTTGCTGAGTTCCCATGTGTGTTTTTATGTTTTATATGTGCAACCTGCTGCTAGTAAAGGTTGCTCGTTCTGTTAGGTCAGTTGGAAATTTGATCACATTCTTGTTTTAATATTTTCGTTTTGGTTTTGTTTGGCTGAGGGGATGTGGAGGTGCACTCTGCATTTGCATTTCTGCACAAGATCCCAGGACTCATCAAGAGAACAAGCCCCAATGAGATATCGAGAGAAGACGAAATCCCCGAAGTCAAGTGCATTTCTATCAGTGTTCGTCACACAGAAAGGTAAGCAACATATCTGCGTCCTCATGCAAATTAAATATTCAATACTATGATCAGATGTTAGTCCGTTCATGTTTTAACACCTGCGGTGTTCATTGTTATGTTTTGGGGGATACAAAACAGCTGACCGTGGCGTGTGGAGTAGAGAGGGTGCGCTGGGAACCGCAGGGTTGGCAGTTCGAACCCTGGCTGCTCCATGTCCCATGTGGAAGTGTACTTGAGAAAGACACCCAACCCCTAACTGCTCCCACTGTGTGGGGTGGGTTATACATGCAAACCATAGCGTAAAAATGTAAACCCTCTAATGCGTCAACTTTAATGACATTCCATTTACATTACATGTCAAGTCGCTTTGGATAAAAGTGATCTTGAAAAACCTTGTATTTACCGACTGCAAAGCCTTCATTTATGAAAAATAACTAATTGTTTTTCCTCTGTGTTGATGGATTGTGGTGAGTGACACTCTCCAGAAGAGGGCAAAAAAGAACCGCTGCATCAGAAACCCATTCAATACTTATATCAATTCTCCCAACTTGACACCTGACATTTGTTAACAAATGCCATTTAAAATTCATCTCATAGCACTTGGTTGTTGTTTAGCTGTACTTAGATGGGGTGTATACATTTACTTGCACTATAATGATGGTAATTATTTAATGAATAAGCTTCAAGTGAACATGGGGGGGTGTTTGTGAGGGAGACTTTGTGAGTGTAGTATAGAGAACAAGTTCTGTTAAAACAAATCCTGTCACATTTTCTGATCTGTATTTTCCTTTATTTTTTTATAAATTATGTTCAAGGTGCAACCTGTACTTTCTGAAGTATTTTTGCAATGTGAATTTGCAGTTCTGTTTTAAAATAAAGGGTTGGAAATTATAGCTTTTTAATGCTGTTTTAAAAAAAAAATCAGATTCATCGATTAATCGAAGAAATAATCAACCGATTCATCGATTATCAAAATAATTATAGTTGCTGCCGTAGTGCAACAAATGACCATCTTGGTATCACAAAGAAGAAAAATGTACAAACATTGTGCCATTATTAGTAACAGATATGTCAGTAATCTTTTTCTCCATGCAGGTGCCAACACGCCTTTAATGGTCCCGCCCACAGTGTGGATTTTATGAATGGCTTTGGGGGATGAGATGATATCAGAGACAGAGAGAGACCAGGTCACGGTGGGTGAACAATAATTGAACGCAGAGCCAAACCTTGGGGAGAGCAAAAAGGTTTCAGGAAAGAAATGATCCCAAAAGAAGAAGCTTTTAATCACAGGTAAATACCAAATAAACTGCCCAGGATCTTTGGTCCATTAGAAAACACTTCAAATTACAATTAACAATATCACATTTAATTCAGTTTCAAATGGATGAAATGTCAAGATAAATAATTAGATGTACTGTACGAATTATTAAAATTAGCCTCCAACTTCCTTTCCTTTCTTGTTTCAGTATTTTTGAAAGTAGGCAAAAAAAAAAAAAAACAGTCCTAATCTTGGGATTCACGACAAATCACCCCGGTGCGTCCCATCAGTCAGCTCTGCAGGAATGTTTATTTCTGACGTCTTTGTGAAGCCTGCTATTTTTCCCCAGGCGCCTTAGAAATTCAATCATGTCCTGCAGAAACCAGGGTGGGAGGGAAGAAATAGGAATGGGAAATCACATTTTATGATTTCCAGGGAGGAAATCAGTCTCAATTCTGAATATGTTCCAGAAATTGATGTTGGGGCTGCTGAATAATAGACGGCCCAAATGGCAGCCGACGCACTACGTCTCTCCTGTTTTAATAAGAGGATACTACAGTGAACGCACACTATTACACTACCAAGACACCATTGAACTGGAAAATTGTGAAGCTTAGCTAACGGTCGAGCATAGTGACTATCGAGTGAGGGTAACTTATGAGGTCCTTGTATATACCTCATAACATCAGTCAATACAGCTCATTATCATTACATGGGCCAATACCATTCATGCTTAAACTCTAGATTAATTAAACCTTATTCAGAAAACCTGAGCAAATGTGTCCTTCAACCAACTCATGGAGATATTTTGATGAAAAAAGAAAATCCCATCCAATCTCTATATTTTAGGCATCAGATATTGGATTTGAAGCGGAAGTTGGGTGGGTGAGAAAAGACATCTGTGGTAAAGTCTGTTTTGACCAGCAGAGACAGTGACATTAAAAAGCACATTGGAAGATGTCATCAATCATCCTCTAGGTGTCCGAGTGTCCATTTGCACCAACCCCTCTCTCCGCCCACGGAGTAATGAGAGCTGAAGTCGGCGTCCTGATGGCGGCCCCGTGTTCAGGGCCGTGGCCGTGCTCTCGCCCTGAAGCCCTGAGCAGAATCTCTTTATTCCGCATGGATCCTCTTCTCCTGGCGGCCAGCTGCTGCCCTACTTCGGTTTCTCATTCGCTGCCTGTGATTGCCCCCTCCGCTCAATGCCTGTGCCACTTTCCTCAGATGGCTATTTGAATCCATTCCGCCTTGAATAATTGTGCAGGTCAGATCTCCGTGTGGACGCGCACGGTTTGAAAAGGTTCGTAATGCAGGTCTGACCTCGGTTTTGTGCATTTCAGTAAATGGGTTCATTTGGAAATGTGTTTATAGCAGATAGGGTCTCCGTTTAGGGCTAAATGTCAGACGTTGAGTCTTTTCAAGTATTTCTCACTCATCTGGTCTTTTTAGTATTCAGTTTGGGCCCCTCATGCACTAATGGAACCTGTTGCATGGGAGTGGGACATTTAGCGCTACTTAAGCTGGCATGCAACTCATTGTAATTAGCAGTGGAGGGAATGTTAAAGGGTTTAGTGGTGAAGCCGCAAGTGTGTTGCATTCATCCCAATCAGATGAGTTGTGCACCGGGCGGTGGATTCACAGAAACATCCGGTGAAACGCCAAGACGAGCCTCATTACGGCGCTCTTCCTTAGCGAGGTGAATATGCGTTGCTGGTTATGGGTGTGGCTTAGTGCTGGTTAGGCGACCTGGTGTCCATTTGTCAGGATTTAACATGTACCTGTGTTCAGGTTGAGCTGATATGTTCCGGAAAGA